ATTTAGAGCACAAAGTACTCTACTATGGGAGAGCTTTAAGCCGTCCCGAGTGGGAAAGCATGGAAGAAGATTGCTTGCACCCAACGGGTGCTTCAGTGCCTGACCTGTAAAGAAATTGTGTACGGAAAAGCTGAACAGGCTCTCTTTAAATCAGTGGTGTCATTATGAACACACATGTTGGAGCCGCTGGTTTTTAGTAAAAAAGAAACGTTGATTTCCTGCGCGATTGCCGCATAGTCGTCTATTTATCTCTGTCAGACGTAAAGTTTCAAGCAAGGACGTCAAACTTTTAGTCATGATTGCACCTATTGTTAATGTTAGCAGCAGAAAAAGTATTTATGGTTGCTAGGGAAACGACGCAGCCCGACACTATCAGACGACTGGCTCGTGAGCTGCAGCTTTGGGAGTGGCACTTGTACTTTTATTTGTACATAAATTCCTAGGGGAGAAGCTCCTTGTGCCGTGGGTTGTGCGTCCGCGATGTATGTAGTAGTAGTAGTAGTAGTAGTAGTAGTAGTAGTAGTAGTAGTAGTAGTAGTAGTAGTAGTAGTAGTAGTAGTGGTGGTAGTAGTAGTAGTTGATAGTCGTCATCGTAGAAGTAGGTAGCCACCTTTCGTTTAGTCCTTGGAATGTCTGCTGGATGGTGGTACTCCTACATGATGTTACATGATGGAGAGGTGCGAGACGGCTGTATTTGGAGTGTTCACTAGATGGACGGACCAACGAACGCAGGGACGCACAGACGGGCGGAAGCGCGGAAGCACTGACGGACGCTTCGCCTTACTCATCACATATTCCTCGGTATGCTGCGATTTTTATTCTTATGTAGGTTGTAACTGACAATCACGTGTTCTTGCTCAGCCTCTAAGATCGGACGCACGCAGCGCGAGCTGTCCGCACCTCCACTGGGTTTGCATGGCCTCCGTGATCACTTCCCTTTTTTGTAACGAAGCAACGTCGCGTGATGACGTCACCATGTGACGTCTCGCCACAGGCACGCCACAGTGACGTTCCGAAATCTTGTCATGTGACGGAAAAGGTGACGTCATCGCGCGATGACTTTTCGCATCACTGGTGCGGACTCCACCGACGCGGGCCACCTTTCAATTTTCGAGTTTGATGGGACATCATCAGGGTTGTATGCAGTAATTTTCTGCGCAGGGAAAGTGGGGGCACCTGCTTGATCTAAATGGGGGTTGGCGAAACGGGGTTTATCGTACAAGGCGAAACAATTTGGGGGGGGGGGGGGAGGGGAAGGGCCCAGAGCGTCAACCGCTGGCTACGCCACTGTACATCATTGATGCATTCACGGTACCGCGGGCTTCTGTTTTACCGCTTTGAAGCTGCCCAGGGCGTGTATGAGGTAGCTAGGTTCCCATCAAGCTGCTCAATGCACTTTTTTCCCAGTCGTCCTCGCAGCCTTGTAGTCAATTCACTCAATTCAATAAAATCTAAGGATTTCGTCTTAACCTTTGCGGCTCTGGTGGTGTCAACTGGCGCAATCGTACTAAATGTGCCCCGGCAGCTCGGAAACGAAACCAAACGCACATAATAAACTCGGAGAGCACCAAAGGCCAGGCATATTTGCCTGGCCAAGCCCCAAAAGGTGGTCCCCCCCCCCCCCCCCCCTGAACACGAAACTGCGAACGAAGATGTAACCGCTGGCATACGAGAGCCGTACACACCTAGGAGTGCGAACCTAAACAGGAGAGAGTGCGCTGCCTTCTCCGCAAGGAAAGAATTCGGTTGGGTGGGGCCGTCCGTCCAAACACTGAACTTAACCAAACAAGGCGTGTGTCCTTTTGTAAGTACGTGCCCGTGTAATACAGTTTTTAAATGCGAAGCATTTCTGAGCGAATTTCAGCGATTTTGAGCGTATCTATCTATCTATCTATCTATCTATCTATCTATCTATCTATCTATCTATCTATCTATCTATCTATCTATCTATCTATCTATCTATCTATCTATCTATCTATCTATCTATCTATCTATCTATCTATCTATCTATCTATCTATCTAGCCGCCTATACGACTTTCGCTCTCCTGGCCATTTGGATAATGGTATCAATACCAAACTTCGAATGATATACTACGACTGTATGACAACCATATTTGACTAGTCATAACATGAAGATCATGATATGTATGTCATCAACGTCACGGTTTACAACTCATGGTCTTGCTGCTCTCGCGGTGGCTTCGTTCACATGACATGTTGCGAAACTGGCATGGCATGATATGACTGCATGGCAAACACAAGCGAAAGACACTAGCGTGAAAATTATGGCATGCGTGTCATGTAACAACATGACTGCATGCCACGCGCATGATGCGCTCGCGTCCATTTCGCTATCGTCACATATACAAAATGTGGTATTACGGTACGTGAATGGATGACGAAGGTATGAGACTGGTGCAAACACGATAATCATGAGATGTGTGTCATGTAACAACATGACTACATGCCACGCTCATGATGCGCTGGAGGCCGTTTCGCTAGCTTCACTAATGCCAAACTTGGTATTATTGGACGTGAATGAACGACGAAGGTATGATACTGGTGCAAGCATGATAAACATGAGATGTGTGACATGTAACAACATGACTACATGCAACACTCTTGACGCGCTCACGGCCGTTTCGCTAGCTTCACATGTACCAAACTCGGTGTTACGCGACGCGAATGGACGACATGGGTAAATGACACATCTGAACATGATAATCACGACTTGCGTGTCATGTAACAACATGACTACATGCCGCACTTATGATGCGCTCGCGGCCGTTTCGGTAGCTTCACATATGCCAGATTTGGTATTACGTGACATCGATGGATGACTAAGGTATGCGACTGGTGCAAATATGATAATCATGAGGTGCGTGTGATGCAAGAGCATGACAACATACCGCGTTCATAGCGCGCTCGCGGCCATTTCGCTAGCTTCACATATACTAAATTTGGAATCTCGTTACGTGAATAGATGACGAAGGTAAAAAAAAACACATCCAAACTTGATAATCGTGGCACGGAAGTCGTGTACGGCGTAATTTACCTCTACTTCGTAACGTTGTGGTGATTTTAAAGTGACATATCAACCTCCGTCATTCGTGTTTCGCATATCATCGATTCACACTGTACGTGGGATCTGCCATTTTTTTTTTTCATTATGTTATTACTTTCGTGTAGACCTCGTAGATTTCGAACTGACTAATCAGTTTAAGGATAGATAACACCTCATTACAGTGGCTGCCCTATAAAGTAGACAGAGAGATGGCCGCCCCCGTAGCTCATTGGAAGGACACCGGATGCGCTATTCGGAGGTCACAGGCTCGGTTCCTGCCTGCAGCAAGTTGTCTTTTCGTCAACCTCTCTTTCTTTGCACTTACGCTACAATTACTTGTAACAAGATCCTCTATAATTTAATTGGAATCTGTCAGTTCTCAGTAAAGGGACACTAAAGGGAAACAATGAGTTGTTTCACATTGATAAACTAAACTCTGACAACCCTAACGTCATACGCTTCGCTGTCATAAGTTCATTATTAGCGTAGAAAATCAAGGTTGAAATTTCATTTTTTTTTTCAAATTTCGCACCGTAATCTCCGCGCGTGACGTAAGAAATTCCACAATGCAATTTTCGTATTTAATTGGCATTAGCTCTATTAAATTTTCTAAGACTTCGTATGTTAAGTCTACGGCACCCAAAAATTACAATGTGTTTCAGTTTTATCGATTAGAAGCTGCGTAAGACCGAGTCAACGCCTTTGAAATCGATGACGTCACAGCGTTTGGTGCGGGAATCTCAAGATGGTGTCACCAAGCGCAGTTTCTTTTCTCGCGTTTTCTCGCTTACGAAGTGTCGTGTCACGGAGTAGTGTTTTCGGGATTGCGAAAATGTACTTTACCAATACGATAAAAGGCGTTTTGCTCTTTAGTGTCCCTTTAACATTGTATTGCCACTGCCGCAATGCGTGCGGGTGTGGCAATACGCTCACAATCCGCCACTACGTACCGCTGCGCAAAAGGTAGTGACGCAACGCAAGGTAATGAAGCAAGGTACATGAGAGGGCTTCAACTTGCAACTAGATTAGAAGTTCTTGTTTATACAATCAGGTGCGCAGATACATTTGAACAGAACAATGACGTACAATATCACAAATTGTACTACTGCCCAACGTAAGGGTTAACGACCTATCACTGGTTCAAAACGTTTCGCTTCGCAATGACGAAATAGGCATCCATCGGTTCCCGCGTCGCGGTTCTCTCGCTTGTTCAGAGCACGAGATTAAACGTAAGATCCGGTCCACACATGCACGATTCTCAGTGCATATGTACACGAGCACCGATATAAAATTTGACGTAAAGCTCGTGCAGCCGTTAGGTCGCACTGGACAGGCTTGCATCATGTCGTTGCGAAGAGATCAGCAAGAAGAGGGGCGCGGCGTCACGTACCGCCCTAGCAAAGCCATATGCCTTCCTTCTCCCCCGAATTCTTCTACTTTTCCCCGCCACCTGTACACACACACCGCAGAGATGCCGTCGGTGCGCACCAGGTGGCAACACCTGACTTTGAAAACAGACGACCGAAAGCAGACGACGTCGTGCGGCGTAGCAGAAGGCATCCAGAAGACGGACAGAAAGTTTGAGTGAGAGAGAAAGATGGCCGCCCGGGCATTCTCCTTTCCTGCCCTGCAGAAGAGTGACCTGAGAAGGTATTTTCTGCCTCCCCCTTTACTCCCCCCACTCCTGAAGCCAACTGCGACGTTACCTCCCCTTGCACCCCCTCACTGGAGTGTAGTAGAAGTACACTGTACCCTCACTATACTCTCCCCTCTAACCTCCTTGATGCCGCCGCCAGGGTTACTCTCTCTCTTGCAAATACCCTCGTGTTTTCCTTCCTCCTCCCCCGAGCCGTACACCATTCCTTCCCCTTCTTCCACAGGGGAGCGTACAGCCTCCTACGCTATGAACGAGGAAACCTGCCCCAACCAACGCCTCCTCTCCACCGAAATCCGGCCGCAGCACGGGCGACGCCACAGCGGTGAGTCTCGTTCCGCTAGTAGCGTGGTGGCCTGCCAACCCTTGGGAACAAGTGTCTGTGCGTGTGAGGTTACTCCGGCTGAGAGTGAAGAAGACAAGGTTGCTTCCAAGCGAGCGAGGTTCGAAAACCGTGTGTCGAAGCCGCCGAATAGCTCGGCGTTGCCTGCCAGCGAGGGCAGGCTACCACCGGGCACCCCGACCACCATCGAAAATTCTCGTCTCCTTTGTGTGTGTGTGTGAGTGGGGGAGCACGACGTCGACGACACCAGCGCTGCGCCGAAATTACGAACGACTGTACGACGGGAGCTAGCAGCAGGTGCTAGCCGCAAAGCGGATGTCGTTGTAATTAAATCCTTCGTAAACCAACTACCTCAACGTCCGCGCAAGCGAACTACGACCGTCTGTCTCAGGGTCCTGTTGTTGTGTGGCGTGTCTTCCGAGAATCGGGGCGAAGCGTTCCGCTACTTCTGCTCTGCATCTGTTGCCATAAGTGCCTTCTGCTTCTCCGCCTTCTGCTAGACACCTCGCTAGCAGACGTGCAACAGACGTCGTCTGCAGCAACGCCGTGGTTTTAGTGTGCTTCCGTAACAGGAACGAGTGTGTTTCACCCCGCGAAATAGACCCTCCCGAGACCACAATGGCCTGTTCTGCGGTGACCCTGTCGATATCGACCATCACGGCCGTACTGGCACTGGCATGCCTGTCCATTTCGTTCGGCACGGATAACTGGCTCGAGACGCGCGTGAACCGGACAGCCATCAGACAGACGCTGCAGAAGGACACCGACGAATACAGGGCGTACGAGACGAGAGTGGAGTACTTCAGCAGGGACACGGGGCTCTTCAGAATATGCTTCCCAGAGAAGAAGCCTAAAGGACGTGAGTAATTGTCGTTTCTTATCCCACGAGACCAAGAGGTCATCGGTCATAAAAAGTCTTTTTGGCAAGGGCCCCATAGTTTCATGACGTGCAAAACGGCTGCCAGTAGTAGCCGTATTAACGCCCAAAGGGTTATTAGTAGCGTCATGTACAAAGTCATAATTACACTTCGAACAAAACAGCTGCTTGTGGAAGCCTTATTTATAACAGAGCAGTAAAAATAAAAATATGAAATCCGTATGTTTTTTTACAGGTGTACTTAGTTCATTGGCCACCAAAATTGCTGCTAGTAGTGGTCACATTAATACCCCAGCGATAAAATAAAAACCAGGGTGTGTTGTACACGTTTAATGATCAGAAAAAATGGCGCTTTGTAGCCATTTTAATGACCAAATAGTTAGCAGTACTGTGTTGTACGTGCCCATGCTTCAATGGCCGCGAATATCACTACTTGTAGCTATCTCAATGGCTCAATGACTTGCAATAATTTGTTTTGCATCCATACAGTTCAAATAACTGCTAGTAGAACTCATTAATATAACCAATTAAACAGACGGAAGCAGCACTTAATGTATGTCCATAGTTTGATAGCCAAACAAAATTTCTAGTAGTAGCTACTTCAATAACGAAGCGGTTACAAGAAAATCGGCGTTTGTTGTACAGCTGCCTAGTTCAGTGACCGGCTAAACGGCTGCAAGTAGCCGTTTAATGACCAAGCGGTTAGCAACAGTGCATTGTGGGCATCCATAGTACCATGATCAGCAAAAATGGCTGCTAGTGGCAGCTTTTTTAATGACCAACTGGTTGTAAGTAAATCGAGGTGTGATGTACAAATACGTACTTCAATGACCGTCAAAATGGCTGCTAGTAGTAGCCATTTTAATGACCAAACGGTTTGCAGTAGTGTCTTGTAAAAACGTGTATGTCAATGTCCGTCGCTGTAACTACTAGTACTAATCACTGCAACGAGCAAATGGCCAACAGTATAGTGTTTCACAGGCCTACAGTTACGCCAACAACCAAATCGCTGCAAGTAATAGTATTTCCATTTACCAGAAGATTCACTATCACGTCTCGTACAGGCCTCTAGTTCAGAAAGACGTGCATTTCAAAAAGCAGGATAGCATCTAAAATGGCAACAGCAGTCAGGTATGAAAATAGGCCTGTCAAATTTGACGCGTGCAGCTGCATTTTGATAATATGAAATTCTTTCGCTTGTCAGGCTGCGTTATGCAAGCTCCCATGACGAGCACACATGTTTTGAACGATACTGCGACGACGCAAAAAAAAAAAAAAACGCAAGCCATAATATGCGCGTTGTTGCTTCGATAGCCTGCATTCTTTCACTTCGTGATGTCAGTGTTGCGTGTGCTTTTCACAAGAACCGAAAAGACGAATTGAAAAAAAAAAAAAAAACAGCGACATATTCGAGCACTGGACAACTGTCTTCGTCAACTGATTACTTGGAATATATTTGCCAAACTTGTAGAGACGATGAACTTTTTTTTTCTGCATCAATAAAATATCATTTCCCAATACCAATGGCACAACTTTGTAAGCGAGAAAACGCACAAAAAGAAAAAAAAAGGCTTGTGGCGACGCCGCTGCGTGGTTCTCGCACTAACTGGCAGTGACGTCATAGACTGTGACGTCATACGTTGCGGACATGTATGGATAAGAAAAATGGGGGCAAAGTATCACACAAAAAGTTTGGACATCAAGATCTGTGAGGTCACACTGACATTCGGGTGCTGAAGTTCCGGTGCGAAGATTAAGAAAAAAAAAAGCATTCACCATCGATTTCTCTTCTAATCCTGAACCTACTGTGGCAAAATTAGAGACAACAGTTATCTGAAAAAATTATCCGAGATTATCCTTCCAAAATATTATGTTTCGCATGCGTATATGCATGATTGATTGATATGTGGGGTTTAACGTCCCAAAACCACCATATGATTATGAGAGACGCCGTAGTGGAGTGCTCCGCAAATTTAGACCACCTAAAGTTCTTTAACGTGCACACAAATCTGAGCACACGGGCCTATAACATTTCCGCCTCCATCGGAAATGCAGCCGCCGCTGCTGGGATTCGAACCCGCGACCTGCGGGTCAGCAGCCGGGCACCTCAGCCACTAGACCACCGCGGCGGGGCATGTGTATATGCATAAGAGTTATATAACAGCTGCATCTTGAGGTACTTACCTACGGAGCAGAAACCTGGAGGATTACAAAGAGTGTTCAACTTAAGTCGAGGACGACGCAGCGAGCAAAATAAAGGAAAATGATAGGTGTAATCCCAAGGGAGAAGAAGAGAGCAGGGTGTGTCAGTGAACAAACGGGTGTTAAGGACATCATAGTCGCAATGAAGAACAAGAAATGGTCATCGGCAGAGCACGTATAGCGTGAGGGCAAGATAGTCGCTGGTCACATTAGTATCACAGACTGGATTCCAGGAGGAGGCAAGCGGGTGACGGGGATACAGAAAGTTCGATGGGCAAATGAGATTAGGAAGTTTGCGGACGGCAGCAGCAAGCACAGGACCGAATGGACTGGCGGAAGATGGGAGAGGCCTTTGTCCTGCAGTGGACGTAGTCAGGCTGATGATTATGCATATACAAACATGCGAACATACATAAATGTAGGTTGAACGCCATGTTGTCCAATGAGCCATTTTGCTAACTCCGGTTGACCCAGAGGGTTTACCCGGCCTATCTGATCGTCTTAAAATGCCGCCATCACGCAGTAGGACAACATGGCGGAATTTAACAGCGTCCAGAATTGAACTCGTGCCTTCGCTGAGTAATTGCCACAAGAAAATAAAAACAGCTCATATGCACGGGTCACGTGACGGTCACCCGCGTCTGCTTGACTCCGGAATCAGTTCAAGTGCCGTGTACTTCCAGAACAGGTCCCCAAGCTTTTGCGTACGAGCTTCAATTTTTTTTCAAATCAGGCCTCGGTGGATTAATGACTCTTACGTCGTTGGTTCGGTTCGACCTTCCGGATTTTCGCGAGCTGGCGAAAGCCGTATATACTGAGCCGGGGGTTGTCGAACCGCTTCTGATCGCCAACGCGTCGAACTCGTTTCCCGATTGTATTTGTTTGTCTGTGGTTTTGCCTCGTAAAGAAACTGGAGCGCAGCTGTCTGGCGCCTTTACCGACGCCGTATAGGCGCCTCGGGGGACCGTTTGGTTCGGGTCGACCCGTTAACTAATAAGGAGCCGCGACGGCGTGATCATGTGACTAGCGTTCTGATGAAATTTCAGCGCTGCACAACACAACACGCGAACGACAAAGAGGACAGGGACTGGCGCTGACTTCCAAATGTGCCGGTTTATTGAAGAAACCGTGCTATGCTACGCTGTCTCGATAGGTCGAGGGTCGCTGTCCCGAAGAAGCCCACGTGCATGCAGTCGCCAGCGATCTTAAAACGAACGCTTCGTAGCGTGTGCTGAAGCAGTTTGATTGACCCTAGCGCCGCGTAGATTTTGGACTGTTGCCGAAGTGTTAGCCATGCATGCCAACTAACTTTCCAAGCATATTGAGGTGATGTCTCGGCAGTGGACCCAGCGCTTCGCAGCTAGCATGTCAAAACAGCCTATAGGTCACGCGTCGGATTGATTGATATGTGGGGTTGAACGTCCCAAAACCACCATATGATTATGAGAGACGCCGTAGTGGAGGGCTCCGGAAATTTCGGCCACCTGGGGTTCTTTAACGTGCAGCCAAATCTGAGCACACGGGCCTACAACATTTCCGCCTCCATCGGAAATGCAGCCGCCGCAGCCGGGATTCGAACCCGCGACCTGCGGGTCAGCAGCCGAGTACCTTAGCCACTAGACCACCGCGGCGGGGCAGGTCACGCGTCAGAGCGTTCGTGTTAAGCTTGCTGACGACTGTATACATGTAAAAGCGGAAAGGAGGAGGGGTGTCATGGCGCTCGCGATAATCAATCAGATAAGTAAGAGTCACCAGGAAATCGCATCTAGAAACGTCACATACACGTTACGCGATTTTTCGTGGCTGCTCGCATGTTCGACTAATTGCGAAGTGAGCAAATAACCCGACTAGCAGGTCGCTCTACTTGTTGGTCCCGCAGACAGGGGCGGTATAATAATTTGTGGGGTTTTACGTATACCGAGACAGCGATATGATCGTGAGAGGCGCCGCAGTGGAGGGTTCCGGAAATTTCGACCGTCGCGTGTCTTTTATGGTGCATTCAGACGACGGATGAATCCGGATTTGTCGTGGACGCGGACAGCTAATCCGCGGATGGTCCGCCTGCAGGCGCATCCACACGACGGACGATGTCCTAGGGGAAAACAGCCGGATTACCCTCGACAGCAGATTCGGCGCTCACCTGCGCCCGCTGGCAGCAGACCGGTTTGAGAGTATTCAACATGGATGCCCGCAAGAAGCGAAGCTTGGCTGCGATGTCTGTCGTGTTGTGACAAATGAACGAGTAGTGTTATTCTTTCAGGAGAAAAGGGAGTTGCTAGCAGGATATTCTTTCAACTACATTATTCCCCACTTGTAGAACTTCTAAACGTGTCTCCCGCCTTTTTTTTTTAGAAGCGGCACGTCGCCGGTTGCAGGAGTTGAAATATTTCACCACCATGACGGCTAAGAATCTTGCGTGTTAAGCGACGGCGGCGACATTTCCCGAACCACCAAAAGTGATTTCTGCATATTTAATCACCTGAGAACAAAGTCTCCGGAAACTAAGTAAACAATGCTCAAGCGTAGATGATGCCGACCAGTCATGCAGCTGTCCGCGAGCCATGGAGGACATGCCGCGAGCAGACGAAAAGTGTACTGGTTGCCACCGACCCCAAGCTATTCCGCTGAAGTACCGGCTCTCCCCCGCCAGAATCCCGATGTGAGAAACAGGTTGGGTTCATCCGTCCGCGAGCCGCGCGGACGAGTCGCCGACGAGGGGAATCGCTGATGTGAGGTCACGTGACGCGCCGTCCGTCCCGCCACATCGGGATTCGATCCGT